TTCTTTTCAGTTTTCATATAGTAACGACAACGTACACAGCACATCGCACGTCACCCAAATTAAGAGAACAAGAATATAAAACAATAACTACAATCCTTAATTATCACTAAATTTTGATCATAAACCCATTAGTGCTAACACCGAAGCTGTCATGATCGCAATAAACGTTCTCCAAAATATTTTGTTTCCTGTGAAACAAAAAAAAAGCATAGGAGTCAAAACATACATTAGTATCTTACTTGAACTTTTGTTTCCTTAAAGAATCTCTACGACTCAACAAAATCTTCAGGCCGATCCGGTTTAGTTCGGTCAAGGTTGGACTATACCGATTTTTATGTTTTAAGAAAACATGGACAATTCTGGTCCAGTCCATACAGAACCGAATTCATCAGGATTGGGACAACGCATCACTACTGACTTTTCCGCATGACCTTAAGACCGGACCGTACTTCAATTCTAAACAAAACGGTCAATTCAAGGCCAGGGCAAGGCCGAACCGGACCGAGTTACCCCAACGCAAAAATCTCAAATGGTAGTATAAAATCTAAAAGTGATAAAATTGTATATGAAATGAAATATACTATGACTCACGTTTTGTAACTCCAAGACTTGGTACGTTTGGTTGCAAAACAGAGATGTTATACTTGACGAGACATTTAGGAAAGAAGATCTGAGCCCAGCGAGATTGGCTGCAACAATGGAAGAAATCTTGGACCGCAAGTCTTAAGCACACGGTGCAATTTAAAGGATCAAGATCAGGAGCACACTGGACCATTCCTTCTAACTCATACGAACCTTCGGATTGAGTCACACGTTCTTGATCCTCCACAAAATATGGAACCGGCGATGACGAAGACGATGCTTTGACGATAAGCTCGTCTATTTTTCCAGGCAGTGTTTGATTGAAAAAGTGCAAAGACTCCAAAGAACGGATCAGAGAGTAACTAGCCACGTACGGTATGTCCTCTACGAGTGTGAAGAAAGAAAATTCCGAGTATCGAACCATACATTCGTAGTAGAATACGAAAGCTTCTTTTTGATAAGTGCAGTTTTTAGCGATTTCTTGCGTTGCGGTATAGACACAATCTGAACAAGATGTTGTGTTGACGTCTCCTCTGCATAGGAACATACCATAGACTGTGTTTGGGCTAAGACCGGTCGTGGCGTTGGAATAGGTTCCGAGGGAGGAACGGTCGCGGAGAGTGGCGAGGATGGTGTCACGGTTTGAACCATAAAAGCTGGTTCTAGTGAACTCGCTTTGATTGCAATAGGTGCTCATGTGATTAGGTTGGGACATGGTTTTGAAAGACAAAAGAGAGAATAAAAAGCAAAACAGAGCAGAAGAAGCAGAGAGATTAACGATTTTTGTCATTTTTGTATGTTTCTTAATTATTATGACTAATGAGAAAGAACAAAACAGAGCACATAGATTTATATAAAGAAAGAAAAGCTATTTTTTTTGTTATTTTAATTCATTCAAATCAGCAATGTCAACATATAACGTGGTAGACTAATTCAGATGGATAATATATCTATATAATAGTTATGATTTTAGTTGAATTCCATATTCTTGTGTATAAAATACTGATTATCTTCGTAGGTTCCTTAAATAAGAAGAATGCAAAACATAAAGTTGACACATTGGTCTTGTTAAGAACCTGAAGCAAAATAAAAGATTTGATTTGTTCCTACAATTTCTTTATACATTTTAAAAGCAGATCTTCGATTATTTGATGCAAAATTTGATGTTAGCTTTTTTTTTTGCTCCAAATAAATGTTATCTTTTTATTATGTCACCAAAAGTCCCCACATGAGCAAACTCCATCACTGCTAAAGTGATGAAACCGATTTGTATCTCTAACTACAATTTCTCTTCCTTCAATCTTTGCAATCAATTTGATGACTACATGACAATCTCCACAAACCCTAAGATTCTTAATGATCAAAAGAGGGCTTCCCTTTGGCGTGGCAATCAACCCAAATGCAATAGCCAATCTCTCACTATGCTGAGCAAGAACAGCTTCTTTATGCTCATCATCAATGTCCTGAAGCACATAACTTGTATCTGGCTCATATCCTAATTCCTTAAGCCGCGTACTCAAATCCTCTAGCTTCATATATATCTGATCTCTGAGAGGATGAGACCGATCACCCGCCAAGAACGCGTAAGTCTTGTTCTTGACCTCAATCCAACTGTATCCAGCTTCTTTCTTCACGTTTCTCTCGTTCATTAGCTTCCTTACTTTGGCTCTCTCTTGCCAATCTCCTGACTCTGCATACATATTAGACAACAACACATATGCAGCTGAATCCTCTGGTTTCATCTCGATGATCTTCTCTGCAGCTATTCTCCCCAGCTCTGTTTTCTTGTGAACGCGACAAGCAGCTAGAATTGTTCTCCAAATGGTGGTACCAGCCGGGGTTGGCATGCTCTCTATTACCTTCATAGCCTTTTCAAGTTGCCCGGCTCGGCTGTATAGATCCACCATGCAACTATGATGTTCCTTTGTAGGTGCAATCTTGCTCTCTCTTACCATTATATCGAAATACTTTTCACCTTCTTCAACTAATCCCGCATGTGTACAAGCAGCAAATACTCCGATAAATGTTACACTATCCATTTTCACCTTCCTCTTCTTCATTTCCTTGAAAACACCGAGAGCCTTCATTGCTTGACCGTGTTGTGCATACCCAGAGATCATCGAGTTCCATGACACTAGATCTCTCTCTCTCTGCCTTTCAAAGACTGCCTCCGCGCTCTCGATGTTGCCTTTCTTTGCATACATGGTTAGAAGAGCACTACTAACACACAGAGAGTTATGGAGTCTTGATTTTATAGCTAACCCATGGAATTGCTTTCCCTGTCCCATTGACGCGGTAGTAGCTGCACAAACGTTAAGAATGCTAGAGAATGTGAACTCGTTCGGTTTTATCCTGCCCTTTGTGAGCTCGCTAAACATCTTTATGGCTGCCTCTGCCTCTCCGGTCTGAGCATATCCTGCAAGCATGGCAGACCAAGCCACAATGTCTCTATCATCAATACGGCTAAAAACTTTTGCAGCCTCATCTACTTTACCAGACTTCACATACGCATCTAGAAGAGCGGTTCCAACGGCTGAAGATCTCTCGTAGTTAGTCTTTACAACCTGTGCATGGACCTCCAATAGAGCAATTACAGGAAGAGCAGTGAGAATGACAGAATAAGTGAATTCGTTTGGTCTAACGCCATTCCTCCTCATTTCCCAAAACAAATCCACTGCTTCCTCTTTCCCATCATTCTGCAAGAAACCACTAATCATTGCTGTCCACGAGACAACATTCCCCATGAATCCCGTCTCTTTGAACAGACTAAGAGCATTAAGCATCGCCGTACATTTACTATAAGCTACCATTAGAGCCGTCCTAATGTTTTGATCAAACAAGAATCCGTATTTTACAACACCGGAATGGAGCTGCTCCGTGAACTTGAGTTCTTTGAGGTTAGCGCAGAGCTTGATAACGGAGGCAAAGCTTGATTCAGATAACCTCACATGATCAAGCCTCATGAAATAAAACATTCTCAATGCATCTAAATCAAGCCCGTTCGCTGCATATCCGGAAATCATACTATTCCAAGTCACCACACTCTTTACTTGTGTCTTATCAAACAAAATTCTAGCTTTCCTAACATTCCCACACTTGAGATACAGATTAATCAGAGAATTAGACACCGGAATCGTTTTATCTAAACCGTTCTTTACAACAACTGTGTGTACCTCAATTCCCCTCCCATGAACTCCTTCTTCAGCTAAAACTCCAAGAGCAGCTGCAAAAGTAAACGAATTTGGCATCGTCCCTTCGTCCTGCATCCTCATAAACAATGTCAATACTTCATCGTTGAACGAATTCCGCGCATATCCACTGATCAATGTAGTCCAAGTAACAACATTCCTCTCCTTCATCTCATCAAAAACATTCCTTCCATCTTTAAAGTTACTGCCTTTCATGTATGTATCAACCAGCGATGTGCCAACACTTACATCGTCTAAAAAACCAATCTTTACACAGTGACAATGCAATTGTCTCCCGAGAAGCTCATCACACAGAGTAGCAGAGACCTTTAGAACAGAGGAAAACATTGAGCAGTCCATCTCCATCCCTGAACGATGAATGTTCAAGAAGAGTCTAGTTGCTTCCTGAGTGCGTCCGTCACGGGAAAATCCAAAGAGTAAGCTTGTATAACTTTCCCGATCTCGGTCAGGAATTTTGTCGAACAGGTTGTGTGCACCATATAAACGAGATGAGGAAGATGACACAGAACCATAGGAATAGATTCTGACTTGGGTAGCTCCAACTGCGTATATACGAGACTTGGTTTTGAACCCTCCAAGAGATTCATGTCTCCATAATCTTGTTGTGGATCGCATTTGCTTTTCAAGATAAAGAAGTGGAATTTTGATGGTGTTTTCAAACACAACATATCGCACGTCACCGAAATGAAGAGAACGAAAATGTAATCAGCAGATACAATCCTTAAACCATCACTAGATTTTATCATATACCCATTAGTGCTAACATTGAAGGTGTCATGATTGCAATAAAACTTCTCCAAAATATATGGTTCCTCTTAAACTAGGGGATGTATTGGATGTGGTATTTTAATGGATTTGGTGGAATTTCTAATTTTGTGGGATTTATGTAGATTTGTATGAATTTTGAGTATATGTGATGATTTTAGAATTAAAATAATTAAAAATAAAAATTCCGATTGTGTGATTTGGTATGTCATTTAAAGTGATTTAAGGTGATTTGTCTTAAAATTTGAGATAATTTGTGGTGATTTGAGCTTCTTTGAAACAAAACGTGAAAATAAGAAAAAGTCAATCAAGAAGAATACCTTGAAGTATGGGTAGCGGCAAGTTTTGAGCGATTGATCATATATGAAGTATTTATGTATGCACTGACCAACCGAACTCTAATATCTTTCTAAACGAACAGCCCATAAAATATTTTAATAACACGTAATTAAGGTATGAAAAATCTCA